AATATATATATATATATATATATATATTTGGTTTGCCCCAAAATAAGGGACTAAGATGCCTCTTGCTGTTTTAAACGGCAGGCAGTTGAAAAAAGTAGACTTAAAATTTTGGCCCTGCCCATTCAGTTGAGATTGATATCAGTATTTTCAGCCACAGTTGAAAAAATAGTGTGATCTCTGGTCACAGAAAAGTTGCCCACCACTGTTTTACATTTGTCACTTACTGAAAAGGGCGTAGAAAATGAGCAGTGATTTAGGTGCCTTCTGTGACTAACAGAACACAAACTGGCTGCAAAGGGATTGTCAGAAATGTCTTCAGATTAAACGTTTGTATTTGTGGGCATCCCGGTTTAGGACTACAAATCCATTTTTAAATGAAATTGCCTATTTCCCCTGCTTTGACAGACAATCCCAAAGAGACAACACGTGTTTCTGTGTATGTACGGATATTGGACGTGAATGACAATGCACCACAGTTTGCTGTGTTCTATGACACTTTTGTGTGTGAAAATGCAAGAGCGGGCCAAGTAAGTCATTTATGTGCATGCTTAAAACTTTCTAGCTTTGTTATAGGAAAAGGGAAACCTGAAAGATTTCATATAACATCCATTTTGGAAATATATCATGAAAATGGAAAAATGGCTGCCAACAAATTAGAATCCAGCTTTGCACAGTTGTGATTTCTTGCAAGGCCAACAGCAAATTTTCTGTATACTCACAAAACACTTCGTGTTTTAAAACTTTTTTCCCTCCCCCCCTCCCCCCCGTTTTTGCTTGGTTCATTTCTCAGAAACACCTTAGAAGACAATTTCTTAATTACACTCAGTGGTATCTTTGTGGAAGAAAAGTGTGTTAAAACAGTTACTTATAATCAGGTGTGTGTGTGTGTGTGTGTGTGTGTGTGCGCGCTTTAACTTTCATTACACAGCTCAATTGTTCTTTGAGTTAACATGGATCAAAACATCACTGACAGCATTTTGTTCTGCAAATGCCATTTTTTATCTCAGACAGCTTGTCACAAAAATAAAAAGTAGTTAGTTTCCAAAAGAGAACACATGTTTTCCTTTACCTACAAAAGAAGTGCTTTGAACTGACTCTCTTTACTCTGAAATGACTTTATAATTCTGAAAAGCGCAGAACCAAGCATTAAGGCTCAGTGAAACTCAGGATCCTGTCAGAAACGTCCTTTTGAGGAAAGGGAAACCCAATTGTTTTAATAGTGAAAACTACCCCTTTTCCTTAATTCTAACGTATGGGGAAAGTTACGGGAACAAAGCAACTTTGGAAAGTCGATTCTGAGTAAACAAATGACAAGAGGAGAGACTGAAAATAGCTCAAACAACCCCCAACCTACTTAGATAATATTTTTGTCAGGAAAAAAAAAAAAGGAATAAACATGGAGGGCTGGGCTGATTAAAGCTGCTTCAGGGGCAGGTTTCTGATGCCAAAAAAAGAGAGCAGCATGTAAGTAGTCACTTTTGGATGTGATCGTTGCTGGGCAGGTCTTGAACCAAAGGAGTAGAGAAGAAAAGATCAAGGGTTGGGTTATGGCAGAAACATTTTTAAAGCAGACATTGTATAGATAGTATAGATATTGGGGATACCCCAGAGAGGGGCATTACCAGGAACAGTATAAAAGGGACCACATTGTGAAGCCACTGCAGGTAACCAAAATAAAGAATTCAAATTTTTTTTCTTGGGTACGGTACACAGAGCTATGTTAAGCAAATAATTTATCATCTTAGAGAAATGTGTTACTCGCTTGATGAAGTGAATGCAGTGGCATGTTAAACTAACTTTATAATCTTTTTATATGATTTTTGCCTATTTTAACCGGAAATAGAATTGTGTCTTAGCAAACAGGGAAAAACATACTTTTTGCCTTAGTAAGTAATTTAAACATTAATGCATTTAACTTATTAGAGAAATTTGACAGTACGTATCAAAAACTCTGACATGTGTCTGGTAAACAGTGAAAGAAATGGCTTAACTAGAGACATAGAATGGGATTTTTTAAAAAAAAAATAGAGACCAGTTATTCACAGTCCAATTTCTTTGAAACATTAGCTGTTCAGATATTGAGAGGGAAATAATTTAAATGCAAAAAGCAGCATTTCTATTTAAATGCTACTGGTATATACAAATTAATAGAAGAAATCATGCTGTGCAAAACTAGAAATTATAGAAATAGGAACAAAGTTATAGATGTTGCAGAATAGGCAAGAGACAATAAAATATACCTTGGTATAAGAATAGCAATTCAAACAAACTGAACTAAAGTACAAGTACATTAGCAGGCATAGGTAACTCCCTTACATATTGATTTCTGACCTATTGCCTTGTTCTATGTATCTTCGTTCTGCAAGGAGCTAACCTAAGGTATGAGAAATAGCTGGGGTTTGGAATGATTCCTTGTGACCCAAGAGAATCAATTATGAGTCAAAGTTTATTGTAATTTGGAGCTGGATTGACAAACAAGGTAGATTTGGGTGTCTTTGCATCACTTCCCTTTTTTCATTTGATGCCTTCGATGCCTGTGGTTTGTATCATGACAGTCTGGAATTAGAACAGAAACTATAACTCGCATCCCTCAGTTTTGCTGAGGTGGTTTAAAATGAAATTGGAAAGGTGTCGTGTTTTCTTTGCAGATTTGTTAAAGGAGGAATGGGGAGTGGTAGGTTTGTAATGTTATGCCATTGTTTAGTGCCAGGAGTCCCAATGTAGTGCAAGCAACCATAGTTGTGCCCACTAGCACATTGTTGCACCAGATTGTGTGTGTTTGTGTGTATGTTTGTGTGCATTTAATTGTCCATGCCACTATTGCAGCCATTTTGTAAATTACCCAAGGTGCTCACCAGCCAAAAATATTAAGGAGCCTGGTCTAAAATAATGTCAAATCAGGCCACTACAACCACAGCAGAACCTTTGCTAGCCATGATCCTTTGAGTATCTCAGGATCTATTGAGTGTCTTGCATGGGAGCAAGGAGAAAAAGCAGTATATCGATAGGTATGTTGGGATCTGCTTAAAGTTCTTTTGTTGTTTAAACCTGTGAGAATGGATGGATGGATGGATGGATGGATGGGGATGAATGATAAGATAGATAGATAGATAGATAGATAGATAGATAGATAGATAGATAGATAGATAGATAGATAGATAGATAGAATTTAACTAACAAAAATAGCTAACATATAACAGTATTAACATTATAATGTAAAATCATCATTACAATATTTATTTTTTTATAAAATAGATAATTAAACAATAGGTGGGAAAGACTGGAAAATTATAAAACTGAATAACTAAAAAAAATAATAACTATATTGCACAACTACTACTTGGCTCCTGCCTGTTCTTCTATATGCATCCTAAGGGGAAGAGAGAAATTAAAGCACGATATGCTTACCTCTCCATTTGGATTTGGAATTGTGCAGCTGGGGGGCCTAATAACTGAAATTCATTGGTCCTAAGGATCAAAAACCAAACTGAAAGCTGTGGAAATCCAGATTGGGTCTCCTGTTGCCTATCCCAGATTGAGAAAATCAGCCAATATACTTAATTTATAACTGATTTTGTCATGTTTGATAAAGACCTTGTGTGCCATTATGCCAACACATAATGTGTTTTATTAATATCTTTTGTGACTTCTTTTTATTCTTAAAAAAAGCAGTCATCTATGTTGCAAATTGCACCTTCTTTTTTTTGTTCTTCCCCGCAGCTAATACAGACCATTAGTGCTATTGATAAAGATGATCCCCTTGGAGGACAAAAGTTTTTCTTCAGTTTATCTGCTGTTAATCCAAACTTCACCGTCCAAGACAATGAAGGTAAAATGCATACACATCTAGGATGATTAATTTCCTTTTATTGTACTTAGGAGTTAGGTGTTCTCAGATTCAGGAAATCAGGACAGATTTTTTTGAATATATATATATAAAAAATTGGCAAAATATAACAGCCAGAAGATATGATCAAATACAACCAAAAACATAACAGTGCTAATATAATCAGAAAAGAATATACAAAATAGTGTATTGACATTTGAAGAAGCTAAATATATATCCATAAAATGTTAATATAGAATTAGCTCAATCCTTTAACATATTATTAAATCTAGCTGTATTGACCATCTATTTCTCTGTCTTCTCAGTTTGGTACAATATGTTATTTCAATACAGTGATACTTATATAATAGATTCTTAATATTCTATTATTATAATATAGATAATGATATTATTAATATTCTACTACTTAGGTCCTTTGAGCATTGAATATAGATAAGAGGAAAAAGTGGATGTTCTACCAATATTAATTACAGTTTCCAATATTAATATTAAAAGCATCATAATTATTTGAGTTTCTTCAAAATTATTTTTGAATTATTTCTTCAAAATTAAATATAGCATTGGAGATGAAATGAAAAAATGAAGGAAGAGCATATATCAAAGCATTTGATTTGTAATAAAGGTTTCGCTCAGAAGCTAAATTACCTGACGTTAAAGTCTCCATTGTTTTATTACTTTGGGGGGGGGTGTATGGATATATAGTATGTGTTTTTATACAAGTTGATAAAGGAAGAATAAGTGAAAAAAAAAAGTTTAGCAAATTTGAAATACTAAAAAAGTAAAATAAAAAAGGCAAAAAAGGACAGAAATTTGACAGAGATAGACAGATAGACATGATGATGATGATGATGATGATGATGATGATGATGATGATGATGATGATGATGTTTTGGTAAATGTTTTCAATCACTGATTAGTGCTTATGGAGCAATCTGTCCACCTAACGTTTTGGAATGTTTTTCAGAACTTCCAAATGACTCCTTGTTTCCCAATTAAAAGTAATTTTTTGTAGAAATAAGCTATTAAAACTTATAAGATCTGTAGGAAAAAGTATTGGAAAAAGAATAACTGCTTTCCATGCAGAAGGCCCCAAATTCAAATGTTTTTGTACAAGGAAGCTCCACTTAGCATGTGCCCATTGATGGATTTATGTTGCAAGTACCCTGCTTTGATGTGTATTTCGGACCAGGTCCACTCTGTGGCTGTTACACTGCAAATTTTAAAGAAATGAGAGATCCAATTTACCTGCATTGGCCCAGGAGAGAGCACTACAGACTCTTGTGAGTTCAATAAAAGAGGTGCTTTTCTTTGTAGTGTGTTACCTTCAGAACTCTATTACACTACCTTACGATTCTCAAACAAAAGTTGCAAGACAATAGAATTTATCACTGAGAAAATAAGCTTATATGTTGAGTGAAAAGGGGGGGGGAAACAAATTTGGAGGAGACAGGTAGCATTATTATTATTGTACCTTATTAACAGGACATGAATTTACCATTAGAGTTTCATCCAATGTGTGGAAAATGTCAGTGAATCTGTAAGTGTGGCTGTGGGTCAAAAGGCAACTCATATGAGAGATCAAGCTGCTTCTTAGGAAAAATGTCTGGTATAGTACTATGGATTACATTCCTTGATGGGTTTAATTGTAATGAATGTATTGTTTGTCACTTGCTGGTCTAGATAACACAGCCCGGATTTTGACAAGAAGGAATGGCTTTAGCCGGCATGAAAAAAGTACATACCTCCTTCCAGTGGTGATATCAGATAATGACTACCCCATCCAGAGTAGCACTGGCACACTGACAATCAGGGTGTGTGCTTGTGACAGTCGGGGGAACATGCAGTCCTGCAATGCTGAAGCTTTGCTCCTCCCAGCGGGCCTTAGCACAGGCGCACTCATTGCCATTCTGCTCTGTATCATCATTCTCCTGGGTAAGTTTTGAGAGAATAATCACATGCTAAATGTAATGCAACTCTAGAAAAATGCTAGATACTGCCAAGCTGAATTGGGTGCAACCCTTGCAAAGAAAACATCTTTGGCACTCCTTGCAACCGATCAGAAATTAAGTCTTGTGTAGCTACTGTAATTTGAGGGCCAACCTTGGATTATAAAGCAGTGTTATACTGGAGAACAAATCACAAAGATGCGGGCAGTGTGAGCCCAGGTCAGATTGCAAAGTACTGCATTAAAATCCATTACAAACCACAGAGAAAGCATGGGATATTACTATGGGGTGTGCACAAAATGGAAACACATTGGATTTGAAGGACAGAACAGAAAAGTCCCATCAAAATGTTCCCCTGGAACAATATGAATTGGCTGCATTGTCATGGAACAAAATTATGAACAGCTTGAGTGTTTTGCCTTTCATTGAAACAAACCTTGAAACTTTTTGAGTGTTCTGTCCTTAAAAAATGTTTTGAAACTTGATATAAGCCCTTTGCTCCCTAGTTTTTCATCCCCAGAAAAGTAACTGGCATGGCCATACACACTGGCTGCCACTTGTCATCAAAATTGCAGGAACCTATTAAAAAAAACTCTTGAAAAACAATTCAAACTTATCTCCTTTCAGTTAACATCAGGGGATACTGCCTGGATGTTCACAGCATGCACAGTCCCAATCCACACAAATATTTTGGAGATGACCCTGACATACCAGAATTTAGGCCTGGCTGCTGGTGCTACTGCAGGTAGCATGTCCACCCATCCCTTCTGTCTGAATGCACCCAAACTTCCTCTCAACATAGCCAGAAACCCATTCTACCAGGCAGCATCCCCTTTCACCTTGAATTACAGAGGCTGGCACACCTGCTTGATACCTAAAGGCTTCAGCTGGTACGTAACTCTAAACTTCTGGTCTAGCTGCTAAGGCTGTGGTATCTTCAAATCCTAGTTTCTCACAAAGTGTGTGGTTGTTTTAAGAACCAAGTGTGAAACCCAGCTCAGTATAATTACATCTATGTGTCAGACATTGGTTGCAGCATAGAAACGTCTAAAGCCATTATCAGGGGTGGAATACCTTGAATATTATGCACAACTGCTCCAGTGGAAATAACCCATGATTTTATAACCCTTTGTGCCAGATGAGATCTTGGTGCTGGGCCTTTCAGACCAAGGGAATTCTTTGTGATCAGATGCAATCTGTAGGCAAAGCACCTGAAGCCAACCAACTGTGCCTGATATATTGACCCTAGTGTCCATGAACACAAAGGGTTACTTAATGTTTAGCTTATCAGTCAGTCCTCAGCCATTGTCAGCCCTTCAAGATAGACCAGACTAGGAAGCCAAAGTTATGAATGCTAATACTGCTTTTATTATAAGATTACAGTAACAGAATCTTGCAAGTCTGAATATGATTCCCCCCTCCTTCCCTTTATTCTTGTGAGAACTAGGGAGGGTCTTGTCCAAGACGTTTACTCAGATTACAGTTCTGCCTCGGACTTAGATTTCTTTTATCTGACCTTTGTATTGATAGTGCCTCTTCCTCCTGTCCCTCAAGATGTTTCCTTCTGACCATTACAGCTATGCATTTAAAGTCATGGTCGCTTTGCCTTCCAATGCAGAAGGCAACATCCACCCATACCTAGATCCTGCAGCTTGAGAGGTGATTCCCTCAGCCTGGCCCTATTCCCTCTTAATGTGCAGTGACAAAGAAGTAAAGCATGCAAACTCTACCTTGACTCATCCAAATATCTGAAATGAAATGGATGTAAGTGTTGGCAGCTGATGCTCACGGATATTGCAATATTTCTTTCAGCATGGGTGGTACCAACTACCTGCTGAAGGAAGCCAAGAATTGCTCAGGGGCAACTTACTAGAGATAGTACCAGAACCTCAAAATTGAAGACCTGCTTGTCCAGAGCCATCATTTGCGTAATCGTTCATATCAACCTGATCACTTTGATCCACCCTGCTGTTTATTCCTTAATGGCTGCTTCATCCATTGTGGTGGCATCTCGATCTGTTTAAGACCAGGTGCCTTATCACTAGTCTACAGCACATGTTACTAACTGTTGCCAGGGTGGAAAAGATACCTGGGTGATGCCTAAGGAGATGTTTAAGCATCCCAGAGATCAAAAGATGCTTAGTGCCTTCTCTTTACCGGCCCATTTCTTTGAATAACCAATAACAGGAAGCATAGTGTGGGACTTCAGGATTAAACTTGAAGTGTGTGTACCGCCAGTACATAATAAAACCTAATCAAAGGAATTGCTTCCCCCAAATAGGCAGACAGGCCTTATTTGCAGGGATCAGGGAGGGAATGTCAGTTTAAACACAAAAGGAGTCCAGGTTGAAACCAAGGGCATGGCAGGAGTGAATTCCCTCTCTTTTCTCTGTCTCTCTTTTTTAAATACTGTAAAGCTGAACAGGAAAAAAAAGAATATAGCTAAACTAAATGAGATCGAGGATGTGGGAATTATTTCAAAAGTAGGCAGCCATATATCCACCAATTCCATGAAAAGCAGCAACAGTAACAACCCAGTGAGTCACGCAATCCAGTTACAAGGGCTTTGCCGCAGTCCTGATCTTCCTCTCTTGGTCTCCCACCAGCAACAAACAGATCCAGAATAGCTCCTCATTATGCCATCTGCTGCTTAAATGCCTGCTACATTGTTCCAACATTCAACTTTCTCTGTGTTTCTATAGCAGCCTTCTCAATCTATTGCCCTCTGGTTATATTGGAATCACAACTCCCAGAATTCTCAGCTCTACAAAACAAAATGCTAAACCAAAGAGATATTTTGGTCTACTTCAGCAGGGATTTTTTACATGTTCTTTCGCAGTTCATTCCACAGGTCAAGGGTCAGAGTCACTGATTTCCATTGGGAACTCTCTTTGCAGGTTTCCACAAAAGTGAATATTGCAAAACAGTCACGTATTAGGTCAAATGTCTCAGATAGGGAGACCAGAGGCACACAGCCCACAACTGAAATCATACACCAAGTTAGTAAATTAACAATGCACATAATAACCAAATTGTATACATTGTGTTTATAAAAATGGTCTTATAAAATGCAATTTTAGTTAATTCAGGTTTTTCTTTCTTCCAAGTTATAGTGGTATTGTTTGCTGCTCTAAAGAGGCAGCGAAAGAAAGAGCCTCTGATCCTGTCTAAAGAAGACATCAGAGACAATATTGTGAGTTACAATGATGAAGGGGGTGGAGAGGAAGATACTCAGGCTTTTGATATAGGCACTTTGAGAAATCCTGCAGCTATTGAAGATAAGAAGCTCCGCCGAGATATTATCCCAGAAACATTATTTATACCACGGAGGACTCCTTCTGCTCCAGATAACACAGATGTCCGAGATTTCATTAACCAAAGGTTAAAGGAGCATGATCATGACCCCTCTGCACCACCTTATGACTCCCTGGCAACTTATGCCTATGAAGGAAATGATTCTATAGCTGAATCCTTGAGTTCATTAGAGTCTGGCACTACCGAGGGAGACCAAAACTATGATTACCTCAAGGAATGGGGCCCTCGGTTTAATAAGCTTGCTGAGATGTATGGTGGAGGCGAAAGTGATAAAGACACTTCCTAACCTACAGTAGGATATATAGTTCAATTGAGAGGAAGTAACGTTACAGATACCTTTTCCACGTGACAATATTTGATGTTCAGGAGCATTCTCCTATCACTCAGCACAATGTTTCTTTTCTTCTTCTTCTTCTTCTTCTTCTTCTTCTTCTTCTTCTTCTTCTTCTTCTTCTTCTTCTTCTTC